CAACACAGAGCACGGCCCCGCTGAGACGGGCAAGGAGACAGGGCAAGGCAGGGGGTACGGGCAGGCATTCGCACCCGGGGCTTCTGCACGGCAAAGGGGGTGAACCCCTCCGCTGATGCCTGCCCAGCGATTCTCAGCAGTCTTTAATGCATGAACCTCTTGCCTGGCTTGGCTCGGCTCTATTTTATGTATATACATATATGCTCACACACACACATAACATCTATAATTTTCTTTCCCTTACCTGCCTAATTAGGCGACAGATTCTGCTGCCACTGATGTGAAAACCCACGCACAGAGCTGAGCGTTGCTTTCACTCTCTCCCAGGACTGCATTCAACTCACGACACAAAGAAAGCAACTCTAATTTTTTTCTTTGAGGATCCTACTTTTCCTTAGCACTGAGGCTGACTAACGGGGAGCGTACCTGAGCAGATTGGCTCGGGGCTGCTCCAGTGCGGCCTCGATGCATTGATGCACGTAAGGACCCTGGGACCCTGCAGCTCGTAGCCCAGGTGACAGTGAAAATGAGCAATTCCACCCGAGTGCAAATCCATCACGGTGACGTCTCCGAAGTCAGGTCTTCGTGGAAAGCTGCAGCTCAGCATAAACACTGGAACAAGCACACAGGTTTTTGAGCTTAGGGCTTGTCTGCTCTGAGCTGTCCCACGCTGGGGACACGCTGGATGTGCCCACCGTGCCACGGACAGACCTCGCTGCTGGCCAGCTGCAGGGCACTGACAAAGCACCACGCTGCTGCTTCTCCACCTGTTACTGCTTTTGCCTAGACCCAGTTTCTATTTTAAAAAGAATTTGCTTGAACTCATTTATTTTTTATAGCTCTTCAAGATAAAAAATAGACTTGCAGTCTGAGTCTGTGCAGGAAGAGCTGCTGCACGGGGACAGAAACAGGGCAAGGTGGGTGTGAGGAGCGGAGCCAGCGCTGGGGTCCGGGACATGGGTGCCCATTGAACCCTCTGCTTTGGGCACAACACAGGCTGCTGCTCGACCCCCCCCAGCCGAAGCACGCAGCGAAACAGGAGCCTGGCTGGTCTGCGAGGACAGAGCCCAGCATCCTTCCACCCCTGCAGCCCAGTGGGGTTGAATCCCATGGGACTGACACGCCATCCCACCCCCCGACTCCCGCACCCACGTCGGGGAGGCAACCCACCCTGGTAGTGGAGCTGGAAGGTCCCCACCACCTCATCCTGGAAGGTACGGAAGTAGACGGAGATGGTGTTGGTGGGGCTGCGGATCACCTGGCCCTCCACCAGCAGGGTCTGGTTGGCCAGGACCACCAAGGCATCGCCGTCCACCCCACGGATGGAGAGCACTTCCCCGTCCGACAGGTTCACGCTCTTCACCTGGGTGGAAGCAGAGACCTGTGAGCTGTGGGAGTAAAGGTGGTGGTGGGGGGTCCTGGCTGGGTACCAGGTGAGCGATCGCATCCCAGCCCTCAACACACACAGAGCCCCTGAGCATCGCATCACCACAGCCTTCCCTCCGCACCGCTCTGAGCACTGGGGGCTCGCGGCAGACAGGATTTGTTTGTTCAGTGGCGATGGAGCAGTCTGTGCCCCGCACAAGCCTGAGGGACCCCCCCCATGACTGCTGACCCCTTCTTCCTCCCCTGGGACAGCGGGTGCAAGCAGCGAGAGCCGCTTGCTTGAGACGCATTTTAAAGCTGGATGCTCCTGTGGAGCACAAGTTGACCCACATCTACCTCCCTGCTGAAACTGGGGATTTGGGCAGACGGGTAGAGGTGAGGAGGGTTAGAGAGGAGGAAGATGGAGGGGTACCACGAGTCCCTGGTCAGGGTAGTGGTGGGGCCCCAACTCCACCCGCATCAGCCCTGGGACCAGACCTGCATCTGGAGGCACCATAGCATGGAGCGTGGCCATGGCCTGGGCTCACCGGTCCCTGCCAGGGCTGGGCTGTCCGGCACAGGTCTGCAACCAAACCAGGGTACTTCTGTAGGGCTCGGTGCTCACCATCCACCCCGCGCACCAGGGATCCTCCTCAGGATCCCTCATCCACACCAGGGAGCGGATGGGGAGTCACACAGCAAATGCATCTAATGAGTAGTCCCAAAAGGCTTTAATTATTATTTGGAAATAGCTGAAAAGTAACTTCATATTTGCATTTCACGTCCATTTAGCTTAATAAATGGGCTCATATTTCAGCAGAAAGATGCTCATCAGATCATTTGTTTCCTTAAGTGTGCGAGGACCAGGGCTCTATATTTAGCACACAGCCCAGCCTTAGCCCGTAATTGCGAGCGCTCCCGACGCTGTTGTGACTGGAAGGATTTGTCGCTGCTGTCACAACCGTGCCCATCTCCCCCAGCCGACGCATGAGGCGGGGATGCGCCTGGCTCCAAGGGCCACTGGTACTGCACACACAGCACTTGGCATCCTCTGACCTTTGGCGGCAAAAAGGGAGATTTCCTCAGGAGAAACGATCCCAACCCCATCAAGAAACTCCCTGCCTACCCCAAAAGGTCCATAAGCCTGGAACGGTGCCTGGAAAAACCCAGTCCTTGCTGTGGGGCTGGGCTTAGCAGCCCCCAGGCTGGGTCAGAGCATGGCTGGGTTCACCCCAGCCCACACTTTTAACCCAGGAGGAGCTGATTTTGCTTTATTTCGCAGCAGGGTGCAGGGTTGCTGCAGAGCCTCTGGTCCTCACTGCAGGGAAAAGCAGTCCTCGGTCCCCACGGGTGCTGCGCAGCACATCGGAAACACGGACCAACTGCCTGGCCCGGACCCCGACCTACCCTCGGTCATTTCTTCTTCTCCAGGTTTTGTCCTGAAAACTGCCTCCTCAGCACAGCGTGCACACATCGCGTCTGATCTAATTATTTATAAATGGAATGAAGTAAGTGTTATTGGGGATGAATTACTTGGAGCGTGGGATCCAGGGATGCTAAGTGGGCTACGTACAACACTAACGACGTCCCCCCAGCTCCCACTGGGGCAGAATTTTGCTTCCCGAGCTGGGTCTAAATTCCCGCAAAGACGTTTCCAGGGTGTTTCTAACCCATTTTGTTCTGAAATCACTCAAAGACAAACCTGCTCCCCAGCTAGCTTCCCCTGGTGATGACTAGCATCAAGCATGCTATCTAGCACCGAATCACTCCGGCAAATTAGAAAGAGAAATGTTCAGGAGTGCTGTCGGAGCAGCTGATTGCAGCCGAGCTGCTCTGCCCTCCCTCCCCAGCTCTGCCGCCGGGAAGGGGTTTCAGAGGGGCAGCTTGAGGAGGCAGAGCCCTGCAGAAGAGAGGGACCTGATGAACGCTGTGGTATCTCCCCGGCCCTTCCTGATGGTGCCGTGGGGTGGGGACACGGCGCAGCTTCGCCGTCAGCCTTCCTCTCCTGTAAACCCGGGCTCAGAGGAGCCCGGAGCAGG